TCAGAAAGACTTGCAACAGGAAGCGAGGGTTCAAGCGGAATGATTCTTTGCGCAGTGCTAACAGTACTCCCAAATCCGCCACCTCCTCCTGTTCCTCCTCCAAAACCGTCAGCCCCGAACTTGAATTCAAAGAAAATGTGTCATCAAATTCAAATGCTGTCCAAATAGGACCATCTCGAAAGCATCTGCGTGGCCTGTTGTTTCAGCCAGGACTTCACCTGGTGGTCTCGACCCACTTCCCCCGAAGTCTCTTAATGAGAATGAGGGCTACAATAGCGCTGACGAACAATTCCATGCTTTTCCGTCCTCTTATGATGATTTAGTAAGTTAACAGTTAACCAAATCTTATTTAGTTACAAATCTTGTGCATCGGCTTTATAAATTCTCTTTGATGATATTTTGATTTTAGATGAATAGGTGATTTAGATAACTTACTTGATTTTGTGACAAATCTTATGTTGAAACTTGAAGCCTCTATGCTGGTTTTGTGGTAAAGGCTTGCCCTGGTATATTACGTATTTTCTATTTGGGGCTTGTTTCTTTCCTTGTTTCTTAATTGGGTTTCCCCTTGAATTCCGTTCCTCATCCACTGTTTCCAAATAGGATATGTTCGTGTATTGGAATTCCAAAATCAATAAACCAGTTTTGTTCTCAGCTTCTGCTACGTACACTCAACTTGTGCTTGCTATGCAAGCAGCCAGCTATTGGCATAGAAAAAGGAAGTTGGATGACTTAAGGAAATCATGCAAGGCAATTTGGGATGGCCTCTAACATAGATGAGATATTCTAGAATAGAAAGGGAATCATTGGTGTTTTTTGTTGAGCTGTCCTTAGTTTTTTGGGTCTCTTATGTCATATTTTTATATTATTTTTTGTGTGTGTATTAAATTTTTGATTGTTGTATTGTTGTTTTCTAGTATCAGAGTGAATGGTTGAGACCGAAATATAGGGAATGAATATGGTGTGGGAATATAATTGAGAGAATATGAGGAGAATAGGAAATTGATTTGGTTTGGGTTGACTTTGTATTTTGCATACAGGAGGTAAAAAGGAAGATGGGGAGTGGGATATTTAATGCTGATAATTTAAAAATAAACTATTTAATCTATAATAATTAAATTGGCACTAGACAGAAAAAAACGAAAGTCTCTTGCCTCCCTCTGCTGTGTAACAAAGGAACATCCCCTTATTTTCCTTCCACATTATACACAATCACACATTCTGTATCTCCCTAACTGTGAGTTATACACACACCATGTGCCTTGGCAAAGTGTAAATCAGGCACCACTGGTTTTTGCTGCTTCGATATTACAATTTATTGCTTGACAGTCTTTCCCATGATATTCATCCTTTATTGATGAGGTATTGATATATAATGTAGGAGAGAGAGCGGCAATTTGAAATTGATATCAGAAGGGCAAAAGGTTATGAAGTAAAAAGAATGCTGGAGGATGGAAACTGTCTTTTTCGTGCAGTTGCAGACCAGGTTTATGGGGACTCTGATTTATATGATCGGGTCCGACAGATGTGCATAGACTATATGGTACTGTGACGTTCTAGTTATTTTGTTTCTAAATCTTCATCTTCTATCTGTGGCTCACATTATTATATCTGAAAATCTGCCTTGTTGATTGCATATCCATTTGATGACATCCTCCTTCGTGCCTATGATTTTTGTGGCCTTTGACATTGTAATTTGGATTTTTGACGTTTAGTTTTATGCTATTGTTGAACGGGAGTGGCAATGGGCTATTACGTTGTTTGAGAGAATTTTTAAAGATTCCTCTTACCTTCCTCCATTTTGTCATGCATCTATGCAGATATTGTAATTTGATTGAAAAATATGATATTTCTACTATATGACTCATTGGATGCTTCATTGGCAAAGTGGTTCTGCTCTATAACATGTAGCTTTTTTCCGCAGTGCATGAATATCACTTCCTGGATATTTATTTTCTTGCCTTTATCCATTGATAGAAGTTTTATTGAGCTTTAGAACAATTGTTTTTTTTCTTAATTATCTCCAGGAGCGAGAAAGAGACCACTTTTCTCAATTTATTACTGAAGGCTTCACATCTTATTGTAAGAGGAAGAGAAGAGATAAGGTATGCCGAAGTATAGTTTGAGATGCTATTGATTCTAATTTTGTGGTTTTATCTCTAATTATTGGGTTATCTGATTATATGCGTTTATATAAATTGCTTTCTGCCCCTCCTTTTTTTTTTTTCCCCACTTATCTTTTTAGATGTTGAGCATCTTAGGAGACATGCTGGCCAAGTTATTCTTCCTATTAATATCGATTTCAAATTGACTATTACCATTTTGCAAGATGGAAAACTTGACCTTCAAAGCTGTATGTGGGATATAACCGGGAAAAAAATAGCATTGGAGGTTTTTCTTTTGGTTTGCTGGGAGGAGTGTGTGTGGGGAAGTGAATTTTGAAGGAACATATTAAAGCATGCATTTGGGCGAGGGTGCATAAATGATAATTAGTGCTTGATTTGTGTTGTCTCTGCCTTTTTTTGGCATGGGTGGTGGAGTTTTAAACAGTTTATTGACAACTCTCTTGTTGCTTTATAAAGAGCCATTTCCCATTTATTATGTAGTTGAACACTTTTTTCAATTCTAGTCATTTTAATTTTTTTCCTTGAAATTATGCATGCTGATTAAGAGTAAAGCATAGCCTCCTGTTGGGTGAGTATACAGAGTAACAGAGACAGTCATCCGAATGGATGTTGGCTGGACATGATTGCTAATTCTGGGGGTGTGCTGCATACCTCAATAAGGGGCTGTATAATAAAATCCTTGTGTAGCAACTGCGATCTTGCCTGTCTTGTGCATGACGAATGTGACTTTGCTTGTGCCCATTGTGTGCGACATTGAAACAAGAGAATGACATGTGCTGGGTGTGGCTAAAGATGACTGGAACACACTCAGTTTTGCTTGATATGGCCAGAAGATCGCTGATCTTGCTAAAATGGTGGGATGCATGTTTGCTGTGTGTTTTTCCATTTATAAAATTTTTAAATGAACACATATTTGGAGTAAGAAGATGTATTATGTATTATCTTTGGTTCTAATTATAAGAGCTAGTTGACTAATTTGAAGAGATTAAGGAAAGAAGTTAAGTTAGTTATTTGTAATAAATGGGTGTTGTCTTTCCTAAAATATCCTTGCTAATCAAGTGTATTGGTTAGAACAACCATTATTAAAAGGACTACTTTGGAAAAAAAATGCATAAATATGAGAGACAAATGGATTAGGGTCTTATATTTAGGACTAAAATAAAAGTCAAACAAGGTCATATATTAAAGACCGGAGGTAATATATAATATGAGATTGATAGTTGGAGTAAAATTTGAGTCTATTTAATGATTTGGTTGGAGAGGGTGGATGTTGTAATAATTAATCGGAAAATAAATTTCAATTGAAGAAATATTTAAAAAATGACATAAGTTTGTTTAAATGTATTATGAAAGGACAAACTAAAAAAAAAAAAAAAAAAGAAGCCACCTTAGGTCAATTCTACGGCAACTGGAGAAGGGAAGAGATTGGGTTTGGATAACTAGCAAACTATTTTGTAGTATGATATTGGAAAAATATTTATGTAACTAAATATAAATAGAAGTTAACAGACTATAACAGCCTGCATCAATTTTTCCTCTCCCCTTCCTTCTCTTCCTTCTTTGACACGTGCCATCATTGCATCCACACCAAAATTGAACATCTTCCCCAGCTGTGCCCTGACATCCACATTACAATTGCTGTCATTCCTCCTTTCTTCAACCTCAATCCCTCTCTCAGCAGCAAACACAGATCCAGTGCAAGAAAAAAAAACAGAAACACATATCCAGTGAAAAAAATAAAAAAGAAATTGTTGCTGCCTGGGGAAGGGTGAACCATGTCAGAACGATCTAGATGCAATCATTACAGATGGTTTCTCCTTTCATCTAGATGAGAGTTGTGGAGATTGGTCGATGCAAGGAATGAGATGGATGACCTGACAATGCGAGGAAGGATATGGATGATGATGTGATATCTTGATATTTTGGTAAATGTGCCATCTCATTTTTCAAAGGAATGATGATTCCTTAATTTATGGTAACAGGCATTTGTTAGTGTGACAATGACTGCAACCAAATGCACAAAGTGATGTAATGCCATATTCCCCCCATTCCCTAGGGCCCATTTCCAGGAACCAAACGCTTCCTAAGTAAGCATTTACTTACTGAATTTTATCATTCTATTCATTCATGAGTTAAAATATGAATACATGGCACAATTCGAGGGACAGTGGTCACCACTTTTCAGTGTTATAGAACAGGAGCCCTAGAAATAAGATCAATTCACATATTTGGTTATGTGACGAAGACATTGCAATCCTTTTAATGTTATCTATCAAATGCACGTGGTCCTCTGGGGGGGGTGGAGCCTTTCTAATGTGTATTTTTTGTGCTTGGCAGGTCTATGGAAACAATGTTGAGATTCAGTCCATGTGTGAGATGTATAATCGTCCCATTCATATATACTATTATACTATAGGTACTAATTCATATTAGAGGGAGTGATTTTAATGAATGTTTGTCATTATTAGTTACGCGCTCTTTGTTAACATCAATTATTGACGCAGAACCCATCAACATCTTTCATGGAAATTATGACACTGACACACCACCCATACGACTGAGTTATCATCATGGGAATCATTACAATTCCCTTATTGACCCACGACGCTTGACAATTGGTGCAGGACTGGGGTTTAGCTGCCTTCGTGGGGTGTGTATCTTACCTATCATTCTGTTTCTTGCAGTGCCTCCCTTTTGTATTCTTTCTATTGTGCTCTGTTCTGATAAAAAATGTTGGTAATTGATGTTTATATACCAATAGAAACAATTGGTAGGCACATAAACCTCGCCAAGGTTCAGGAAGCTCGTGGAAGTGACCCTATAACTCGTGAAAATGACTCTTCATCATATATATATATATCATTTGGTCAACTAATGGCTGATGTTCTTTTTTTGTTCTCTGGCTTTTTTGGCATTATAATGCAGACAAACGTTGACAAAGATCAAGTCAAGGCTGCAATCAAAGCTCAGCAAGACCAACAGATTGATAATGCAAGTATCTTGAAATGGGGTGCGAATTAAATGTTGTTGAGTTTAGTGTTGACAGCATTTTCTTGTTTCTCTGAACAGGCACTTTTAGCAGAGGGACGGTTTTACTCCGATCTTGAGTTTACAGAAAAGGAGATTGAGCACATGGTGATAGAAGCTTCTCGGGCTGAATATCTTGCTGATGTTACATTTAAGCAGCAGCTTGCTCATAGAGAATCCTCAACTTCAAATGCCGAACCATCATCTTCTGGAGCAAGTGAGTTTCTTCATCACCTTCATGCATATACAAACACAAATTTTTAAGACTGAAGGAGACCGAAATGTGGTAAAAAGTTCAGGCTCGTTTACATTTTGGCATGAGACCCATTGAATGAGTAGATAAATCAATGTATGGCAGGATCATCAGGTGGAGATGGCAAGACGGCGATGGGGAAAGAGCGAGATTCAAATCTGAGCAATAGCATGCAGATGGTGCTATCCATGGGATTCAGCTACCTGCAGGCGATAGAGGCCTATAGCATATTTGGGGATGATGTGGAATCTATGGTTTGTTACCTCTTGGAAACCAGCAGCAGCAGCAGACGGAAAGGCAAGGCCACCGAATGAACTCTGAACTTACTGGGAGGCGACATGCAATGTAGTCAACTGTGGTCAATTTATGGAGACAAAACTTGGAACTTAAAATATTCAACTATCGTCCTAGTCCATTAATTAAATAATAATCTTGTACTAGGCTTTTTTGAATTTAATATCCGGCATATGCATGAGGTCCAAAAAAGGAAATGATCAGTTACCACAACTCAGTTAACTAATTTTATATGACTGCTTGCTATGCTACTGTAAGAATTGGGTAAAATAAATATTTCCTAAATCTGTTTAGAAGTTTATGTATGTCTGACTATCTTTTGCTTTTATCTTCAGAGGTTTTATCTTTGCTCCTAAATTTGCTGGTTTTGTGAATATCTGTTTTAAAGTACTACTTTAGATTTGGATGGTTAACTCTGGTGTTCGTCTAATAAAATATTTCAGTTTAATCCTACGTGTATTTATTGACTTAAAACAATTCAATTTAATCATCCCAGTTTCCTCAACTTCCTAATCAAGTTAATGAGATGCATTGTGTTGGTCAAATTCGAAAGTATATCAACCTTGTAGGCTTATTCATTTTTTCCGTACGCCTCTCTTTTCAGCCCTTGTCAGCTTTCACTTGCTTGGCACTTTTCTCGACAGGATCTTGCGAATTTTTGTTTCCAATTTTTTTGCTCGCGAATAAGAATAATGCTATTCTTCTCAGTACTACTTAATTATAAAAGTCAGTTAGTTAATTTAAAAAGATTAAAAAAATAAGTTAAGTTAGTTATTTATTTATAATAAATATGTGTTATTTTTTTTAAAATATCCTTACTAATCAAGTGTATTGGTTAGAACTATAATTATTAGAAGGACTATCTTTAAAAAAAAAACATAAATATGAGAGACAAAGTAGATTGAGATCTTATATTTAAGATCAAAATTAAAGTCAAATAAGATCATATATTAAAGACTGGAGGTAGTACATACATTGAAAAAATAATCCTATTATTTCTCAAGCTTTTGCTTGCCCTTTCATTGTTAAAAAACAGAAAGAAAAAAGAAAAATCCTATTGTTAGAATTTTTATATCATATGTAAATTAAAAAGTATATTGAATTTTCAAATCTAAAAACTTAAAGCAATATAAATCAGACGAAGTACTTCTTAAAAATGTTTTATATGGAAAAAGGGACTGGTGTTTTCTTCAAATTTTAACCAACGTCAAAACACGGGGAGATGATTATATTCTTGAAATTTTTATATAATTGTTTATATGTGTTTTCTCTATTTTCCACGTAGGACTGAATATTGGTTTCTTTTAATAGGAGAGAGCATAAATTTGGTCGTAAACTCGGAGTCCTTGAGAGTTTCTACTAACTAACTAAATTTTTTTAATTTTATTTTAACCATTTAAAATCCCCTCCCGCCCCACCCATGGGAGAGGGACCATCAGGCATACTCCATTACTCCAATTTTGACGTACAGCTCTTTGTTTCCACGGGCAATTAAGTCCATGGGCATTTTGGCCATTGAGCGACCCAAGCATGCAAAGCGAATGTTCTCACTCTTGGTTAATTTAACAGAATATTAACAGCTTTCTGGCGCAGAGTCTATCGAGGAAGCCCAAAGAAGTGAGCGCAGAAGAGTGTGCAGTGCCTGGCTTGAGATCTTCCGTAGCCGCAATGAAGATGACAAGAATGATGCGAGTCTTTCTTGAAGAGCATGTGGAGGAAGATGAGGTGGTTTTGAATCTGTATGAAGTGGAAGAAGCCGAGGATGACGACGACGCTGGCGGTGAAGGAGACGATGAGGAGGAGCAGCAGGAGGAGGAAGGAGATGATGGTGACAATGTTGAAGCTCCTGAAGGCGAAGGGGATAATGATGAGGACGACGATGAGGAAGAAGATGCTGGCGAGCACGATGGTGGTGTCGACGATTCCGATGGCAACAATGACGGTTCCGGTGACGAGGAGGGGGGAGCTGCAGACGATGTCAGTTTGCATAAGATTTTTCCTGTGCATCGTTTTTCCTTTTTCTCTTTTTAGTTTCTTTATTTCAATTCTTGGTTCATGCTTCAATTTTTTTTTTTTAAACAGATCCTCGACGTCCGTGCTGAAATTCCTGATGAGGATGAGGAAGGATCTAGTGATTTGACTGGTGAAGACATCAAAGATGAAACTGAGGGTGGAGCCAAAAGAAAGAGGTCAGATGATTCAGACGATGGAGAAGATGATTAGAGTCCCTCTAAACAATGGAAGCCCTAGCTACTTCAAATAGATTCTGTTGCTCATTGCCATTACACGGCGGTATTTTGAACCATTACTATTGACTATACCCAACTCATCATCTTGTGGTTTGCAATTAATGTTAGAGTATAATATCTTTTTCTTCTTTGTGAAAGTCTATCTCATTTGGTATTAACATTTACGTTGAAGTAGGGGAAGTGCTGTGAACTGTCTATAAAACATTTAGGGATAAAATTAATGGAAAAGAAGGAAAGACCATAACTGATGATATATATATATATATATATATATAAGGGAAAAATCAAGGGAACAAGGCATAATCTGTCCGGAAGAGACAAGAGTATTCATTATGTAGATTGAGGAATATGATCATGATCAGGCAGAAAAAGAATTAACATGCTGGAGAGTACTAATGTTGAGAAAGAAAAGGGAGAATTTAATAGAAGACAAACTGATTGACAGCATAACAGCACACATTTATCTACATAATATTTAATATTCTAGTTTGAGTTTAGAAGAAAATGAATATGAATTTGATTATCATCGAGCGGAGATGATTGAATTCTCTGTCTACTTAAAATGAATAATTCTCTTCATTTTGCTCATACGAAATTCTTTGAAGACAGAGATTAGGATAACATAATTTAAAAGCTCTTTTTTTTTTTTCATTATGTGCATGGCATGCCACAGGCCGTATCAAATATTCTCATTTTGGACATTTATTTTGGTTTTTGTCACATTTGAAGTGTGTAAAAGCAAAACATAATAGGGATTATGGTGGGAATCTCGCAAAGCGGTTACCAAAATCTTTGACTCCACAAAAGGTCTGGTCACACCCTATGATTTCCCTGGAAAGGATTCTGAGGAACTCTCTTTATTTCTGACACTTCAGCCTTTTTATAGTGAAGGAATTGGGAAATTATCCTGAAGTTTATATATGCGATGGCCAAGGATAATATTTATTCAAAACTGTGAGCTACTTAAATACTACTATATGTGTGTAAATTTTAGTCTGATTAACATAGTCATCAACCCCTGGCATTGATTTAAACGTTTTTAAGAACCAAACCCCCCATGTATATGGCAATTTCTTAACAACTTTTCTTTTGATATAATTCATATTGAAAATAGTTTTTATGGTGTTTGGTTTATTTTTATATTGATTTCTTGGGAATTAGTGGTTTTATGCAGATTATTTAAGCCTGTGAAGGCGTATATTTTTAGTGTAAATTTGACTGCTTTATTTGGATTTGCCAAATAGAATATAAAGATTGAAGACGGGAAAAAAAAAAAAAGGTAACAGTTACTTAGAACCCTGACCTCATGTACGAAACCTTTGGTTTGGAAAATTTGACGAGCAATTCGTTATTAATCAGCACTTTTTGACCACTTTCTATTTAAATAAAATACTCATCTAATTGTAAATATAAATCCCATTTTATAGTATAAACGAATCTTTCTTTTATCTTTCCTCTGGGTGTATGTTGGGCCTTCCTCGGCCTGTTTAATTAGTTAGCAGAAAGTGCGAAAGCCATCCCTCACAAGTAACTAAATACACTAATACATATAAATCACGTTTTAATTTCCTCGCGAAACATACTTTAGATCTCATGAAAAAAAAAACAAATTGTATAAAACATTTGCGGATTCCCAATAGATAATATATCTTCTTTTGCGCTTATTTCCTGCTAAGTTTGTTCAGTAGCCTTTTTCTCCCCATTTAATTCACCACAATTAAACATTAATAACCTCAATAATTAAAAAGAGAGATTAAGTCTAGTAGAAGGAACTAATTTCTCACAACATTACGAATCAATGTTCAAATTTTACTGGGAGAGATATTCACATTTAGTGATTGACGATGTCTCGAATAGGATTGCCTCCAATAAAAAAATCTCATGCGTAGCCCAAAAAAAAAAAACTTGATAATTGAAAGACGACTGTGGTTGGTGACAAATAGTGTCAAAATATGTGTGTGACTCCCTTATAAACCCTATGCATCATCAACATTCATTCATTTGAATTTAATTTCAATCATGTGAATCATCTAAAATCGAATATTAGAGAACGACAATAATTATAAGCTTCCAATATCATATTAAAACAACTTTTTTCTTGCATATGCGAAATACACATCCATGATTTAAATATAGCCACACAGCATACAGTACACTTCTACTTGTATTGGGGTGGGGGGAATCTTTTTTTTAATATGAACAATTCACCATAACGATATGCCTTGATTGGAAATAAGAGTAAAATGCAGTTAAATTGAAGCAACATTTTCTTTTATTTTCTTTTCTTTTACAGCTAATAACATGGGTATATATAAATTGTAATATATACGTGTGGATGGATGGAGATCAGAAAGATATGATATTGTTAGACTAGATCTTAGCAAATTAAAAGTAGGAGAGGAATGAGTTAATGATGAGGTGGAAGAAGAAGAGGAACGAATTAAAGGGTGTGGAGAAGAGAGAGGGTTGACTTTGGCGGTTAGTTAGTGAGACTTAAAATGCTTGGACAGATTTATTACAACCAAATAAGTAAATAACGACATTTAGTATAGATGCTATTTTTATGTGATCATCGGGTCAACCCAAATCGAATCCATACTTCTTACGTGTCCAAAGTCAAGATTACAGACTGTTTTGGGCCCCACCCCCTTCGAAATCGTTAATCATTTAGTGGACCGCGTCAATCTCCTCCTCCAAATTCATTCTTTCATTTAATTTAAGATGCACGTCTCAATCTTAATTTAACATAAATTACACAAAACTTCCTACACTTTAAATTTTATATATATATATAAATAACTCTCTTAATGTTTACAACTTAACAACAAATCACCCTACTTTTTAAATTTGTACAGACGACCCACAATTGTTAATTACATAACCCTTAAACTTTATGTTTGTATACATATATATAATCCCTACAAACTTTGTGAGATAACTCCCCTGAAAATATAACTTTTATTCCTAAACTTTGCATCAATTATTAATCTAATCTGTAAACTTTGATTTGAAACAATTTAATCTTCATAATTTCTTGGGTTGGAACGAACTATTCCTTATGGTTTTTTAACTCAAAACAATTCAATTTCTATAAATTAGAAGAGTTAAAATAAATTTAGGGACTCAATTGATAATTGAGAGAAAATTTTAGACATAAAAATTATATTTTAGCTGATTATTTTAAAGTTGAAAATTAATAGAATGTAATTTAAGACTCGGGTAGTGGATTGATTTTTGAAAGTTTGTTAGATTAAAAAATGTTTTCATTTTTTAAAAAATCTCATTCCCTTTTAAAATATTGTTTTGACCAAACTTTCAATGGAAGAATGACTAGGTATTGAAATTGAAATGGAATTTTAAAAATAAAAAAAAGGGATGAGAGAGAGATATGTGGATGGTTTGACAGTTCGACGCAAAACGCAGATGATCATCACTTGAGCGTCTTGGGAACACTTGATGAGACTTGCTCCTCCAATTTTAATGCCGAGTCTATTGCATAACTTTTCAAGACTTCACTTCTCTCTCTAGTCTACGTCGATCTGTTTCCCTTCTCTCTCTCTCTTTTCCTCTCTCTATAGAAACTTATGGCCACAGGGAGTGGACTCTCCATTGATTCAGATCCACCTTTGAGCGGCTTCTTCCTCTCCAATCCCATTGTCCTCTACTCTTTCCGTCTTTGAAGACTACCTCCCATGGACTCTTCCTTCCCTTTCCCTGCAGAGATGGACTTCTTCTCTAACAACAATCTCAAGCCTTCCTCTTCCTCTTCCAATGATGATTCCTCCACTCCTCCTCGTCCTCTTGAATTCAAAGTAAACGTGAGTTCTTCTTTCTCGCTTCATCTTCACACAAACACGCGCACACGCATATCTGTATGTTTCATATTCACTCTCTTTTTGTTTCTTGTTCTGTCATTTAGACTGCTCTCAATCTCTTGACCATTGACGGCGACCAATCCGTGGTGGATGGTGCGTTTGACGTATATTCAAATTTCGAAGAGAAACGAGCCAAGATTAGTGAGGTGAGATTCGTAGATGTAACATTGAACTGAAATGAATGACCCGTTTTTGTGTTGGGTGATTCTTGTTTTTTGTCTGGGGATTGAATCATTTACGTTGTGTCTGGGGCTGTGTCATTTACAGTTGCAGACTGAGATTGCTCTTCTTCGAGCTGAGTTAGAGAAGATCATGGAAGAGAATCATGAGCTGAAAGACACTCTGAATAAGGTTAACACCAATTACAATGCCCTGAAGATGCATGTGGACTTTATCGAGTCTCGCAAGGGCAGTGAGGACGCTGAGAAACCCGAAAACCAAGTGCCTGATGATGCGAGTCCAGAAGAAAAGAAACAAACAGATAGTAACAGAGGAACCCTAGTGCCAAGGCAATTTATAGATCTTGGATTAGCTTCGATCAATGATGGTGAGGCTAATAGTGATGAGCCTTCGCTGTCTTCCTCCAATGACAGATCAAGATCGCCATTGGAAGTGGAATGCAGGGCCAGAATTGGTTCTGATAAGAAGGAACTCACCAGAGAAACTGAAATTGAAGAAGCTGACAAGACTAATAAAAAATATAGTCCTCCCAGAAACGTTGATGATCAGCTGGAAGACATTATGAGGAAGGCAAGAGTTGCAGTCAGAGTTCGATCAGAAGCACCTATGGTGCGTCATGTAGCATTAATTGTATCTGGATTATTTTACTGTGAACTTGATACTTCTTTTATTGTGAATGTTTTTTTTTTGGGGCCAAACTTTTATTGTGAATTTGATAGGCGGATTAAATGATGTGATAATCAGATTACTGATGGATGTCAATGGAGAAAATATGGTCAGAAGATGGCCAAAGGAAATCCATGCCCTCGAGCTTATTATCGTTGCACCATGGGTTCGGGTTGTCCCGTTAAGAAACAGGTATTTATCTATCCTCATTCTTTTATCATACGTTTCATATATTATGCCATTGCAAGAGCTCCAGTCAAGTTTTTCAAAATCCAGGGAGGGATTAAAAAGTGAATTATTAATGGGCCTAAAATTTAATTAAAATAAACAAACGGGGGCAAATTTGATTTCATCATTTTTAAAAATAAAAAAATCTCATCAAATCAAAACAAAACGACGATTACTCAAAATTTTTCAATCAAATTAAAACAAGTAGATCTCTTCTTCCTATGATTGCTTGCCTCATAACTAATTATTGTTAGTGATGCTTCATGCTAATAAGAAGTTTGTTACATATTATCTCATTAAAAATTGATGGTATATAGTAGTTGTCTCGTTGACTATGCATTTTACAATTTAAGTCTTGAAATTCTCATTTTATTTGAATTTAGATTTTCTTTGTAAAAGAAGATATCACACTATTTTATTAAGATGGATTCAACAAGTATACTGAAAAACTCTAAATATAATAAATAAAGAAAAACATATATTTTTAATTACTTTTGCCGTAAAATACAATTGAATCTTGTGGACAAAATTATAGGTACAAAGGTGTGCAGAGGATCGAACAATTTTGGTAACAACATATGAAGGAAGTCATAACCACGCATTGCCTCCAGCAGCAATGGCGATGGCTCAAACAACAGCAGCGGCAGCAAGGACATTGCTTTCAGGATCAATGTCAAGCAATGATGGTCTAATGAATGCAAGCTTCTTGACAAGGACGACATTGCTACCTTGTTCTTCAAGTAACATGGCAACTCTCTCAGCCTCAGCTCCATTTCCAACCGTTACATTGGACTTAACTATTCCTCCAACACCACAATCTCCTACCCAATTTCAAATGCCTTTCTCAAATAATGCCCCTCATGATTTCACTCAAGTTTTGGCTCAAGCGCTTTGTAGCAACAAGCAAACAACTATGTCGGGGCTTCAAGTGAATAACAAAGACCCCTTACAATTGAGTGCTGCTATAGCAGCTGATCCTAACTTCACAGCAGCTTTAACAGCGGCTATTACTTCTATTATGGGTTCTACTCTGCCAAACAACGTTAATGGTGACAACAATGCCAAAGTTATAAGTAGCAATAACAGTTATTCAAATTTTTCAGGGAATTAGATACATGAATAAACACGTAGGTTGGGTTGATTTGTTTATTTATTTGTTTGGAGTTTGGCTATGAAACTTTGAGTTGAATTTTCCTATTATTATTTATCGATTTAATTGAATAGGTGATAGTTAACTAGACTACATTATTGATTTATTTATTTTCTTGGCTCAGACTAGACTGGAAAATATTGAGTTGATTATTATTTTTTGTTATTACTTTTTTTTATTTTGACATTAGATTTTTTTCTTGTTATTTGACCTTGAAGACATACAATCTTAAGCATATTTAAAGGCTCACATTTTAAGTAGATTTTTAAAAAGAGCTTTTTTTTATCTTATCAAGCCTTTGAAAGGCTCATACTTGAACCTAGAGAAAAAATTTAGACATATTTAAGCTTAGATGTGCAGGGTTTATATTTATGCTTTAGGCTCAAGCCTATTTGGTTAGTCTCCTCTAACTCCTTACACAAATAAAACGCCAGTCACACTCTAATTCTATAGTCTAAGAAAACTTGTTTTGCTTTATTGTTCTTTATTCGCTCCCAACGGCTTCCAACCATAATTACGCTTGAAAAGATAGTAAATTACTTTGGTTGTTACATTACAGGGCCTCCATTTCACTGAAATTTAAAAAAAAAAAAAAAAGAGGGTGAAGATTCTATGGGACGCCAAATTATGCTGTCCATAACGAGCTTATGATTTCATCTTTTTAAGCCAGTAGAGAAGGACGAAGTGGGGAAGAAAACCATACAAAAACTGAGAGAGCTTGCCGTGATTGCAACTAAAAATTTGACCGGGTACCGGCTAATTGTGAGTATGATGGAATGGGAACGTGCGGGTGAGAGAGGAAGACTAGGCCCCGGGGGATTGGCGCCGAACCGAAGCGGTTGTAGCAGCCCTCGTAAGAAAATTGTTATTGTCATTATCATATTAAAACAATAATAATACTACTTTCGATCTTTAATATAAAAACTTATTTGATTTTTATTTTGATCCTGAATATAAAACTTAAATCTATTTTATCTTTCATATTTATTCATTTTTCTAAGATAGTATTATAGTAATAATAGTTCGAACCAATACATTTGATTAGTAAGAATATTTTAGAAAAGACAACGTATATTTATTAGAAATAACTAATTTAATTAGTTTTCTTAATTTACTCAAATGAATTAAATAGCTCTTATATTAATAACTGAAGATAGTATAAAATTTGGGATAATTTTCAGATTTTTATTTTTATTTTAAAAATATTTTTGGCGGAAATTTGTTAAAAAATTATAGCTTTGACATATAAGTGCTGTAAATCATGAACGAAATCCACTCACGTAGCTAGGTTGTATTTTTCTTTTTAATTACGAAATATGACCAATGTGGAGAGCCACGATTAATTGGGCAATAGATTAAAGGGGCATATGATATTTCAGACCCTACATCACCCATCGATTAGCTTCTTTAAATAATGAATCAAAATCAGTTTTCCTTATTGTCCCAAAAATTTTTTAAAAAAAATAGCATAAAATTTTGCCGTACAAGATCAGGTGCAGAGCGCAGCATCCTGAGCACCGTCATGGAAATTGGCTGGAGGATGCCATGCCTGGGTAATGCGGTACAGGAAACAGAAACTGAAGGAGAAGAGGAAGAGCTTGTGCTTGAGGAAGGAGGAATAAAAATGGGAAGGGTAGTAATGAAAGAGCTAGGTCATGGGGCTGGCAACGAAAAGGGACTTTTCTTAAAATATAAAAAACCCGGCGAGACCCCAACAACGCTTAGAGATATATTGTGGCCTGAGAAAACAATCATGAAAGGGAAATATTTGATGATTTGTTCAACAATGACAATTTTTAATAAAAGAAATTTGTGGACTAACGTATGATAAAAAAAAAACTGTGAGGATTTGACTCTAATGAACGGTGAGCTTTAGGGATTTAACCTACCTAATATTTTTTTGTTTTGAAAAATACAATGCCGTTAGTATCCTAAGTATAAATTATATAATTTATAATAAGTTGTACTGTTTATAAATAATACAAATCATGTATTTTGTTGCCTACAGTAATAGATCATACGTTAGTTTTTCAAATTCCCTCTCGTGCATTAAGGACTTTGTTTAATGTAGAAGGATGAAAAAAAGGGACTTCAAAGCAATGCTATGATTCATTTGGCAAGTCGTGGTGAGAAGGTGATTTAAAAAAAAGCCATTGATATCTATTATATTTGTGAGGAGATGAAAAGCACAAGTTCGAAAAAGAGTAAGGTCAGAGAGGTGAAATCGAGAAAGAAGAGTAGATGAGGATCGGGTAATGGGAACCATTATGGTGCCACCCGAAGAGAATATCAATGAGTAAGGAGCAGGCGGTGGCAACCACCATAATGTCGCCGATAGTAGCAACGACTTTGACAATAATGACACTGCACAGTGACAGTGAGAGAACCAAATAATTGATCAGATGAATCCTGGGCCTTGCTTCTTATTTCCTCATTAAGGGGATCACTGTTTGCTGTCTGCAAAGAGATAACCCTGTTAAGGGACTGAGTTTGTAATAGAAACTTGAAATGTCTCCCAAGACTCAGGTATAATATTCAAATAACTTAATGATCAGTAATCAATCATTTTAAGAACCTCAGTAACTTGGCAACTAGACAACTAGGGAACCTAACAACTTGGCTCTAATACCACTAGGATGAGAAAAACACACAATTTGAGCCTAAGTTGCATACAGTAAAAATATTTTCTCACCGCTTAAAAGAATCTTCGAGGAAACAAAATAAGTATATGGAAGAAATTAAATAGTACAAAAAACATCAAAATTATTGACTTGGAAAACCCCTCAATGCAAGGGTAAAAACTAAGAGTTGTCCAGACTAAAAAAAAAAAAAACACAGCTTCACTATGATCAATATCTCTGAGACCAAGTAATAAATCGACAATCTAGTTGATGAAAATAACGCACTAGGTGTTGCAAAGCTAACTAAGTTTTGGCCCAATCCAACGGTTAATCAATCTATAGACACCGATTTACTGAGACTGCCCTGTGAGCATTTGATTTTTTTCTTTCTTTTCTTTTTCATTTCCTTACATATGGATGGTTACATGGGTGGGCGTTGATGCTCTCTGGGTTCCCGAGGACTATTAGTTCAGTGAACTGAGTGACATCATTGAGGAGGGGGCTGTTGCCGATAAGCATGCTTTGCAACCAACTGGGGGTGGAGGAATTGGGGATCAACCTGGAATTGGAGACGTAGAAATAGTAAGTTTAATTAATATGGGTGCTTTGGTTTATTTTATTATTGCTTTTTAACTTCTTCTTTTTTTAATATGGATGGATTAGGTTGGGATTGAGGTTTATTAGGGAGTTCATGAAGGGGAGGAGTCAAGTGACTTGAGTGGTGGGAATGTGGATGAGCAGGATGGTGGCCATGGTGCTGAGAGTGTTAAGGAACAAGACGGAGGTAAGGCTGGTGATCAAGAGCAGGACGGAAGTGCTGAGGAACATGATGGTGCTGAGGAACGGGGGGAGGCTGGCGATCATTAGTAAGACGGAGGGGCTAACGAAGGTGGGAGAGAGGGGAACAAGCAAGGTTGCAATCAACCAAAGCATGACCAGGCTTTCGGTGTGAAGAGAAAGAGAGGTGAAGCTTAAGTTTGTAGTCTGAAGGAACACGAGAATGAAGTTCGAAGGGACCATTTAGATTGTTTTTTTCTTTTTTTTAGCATCGACGCACGTTTCTGATTAGGAAAATAACATGACAAAGCGGGCCTGTTTATGACTAAAGATCTATTTAAAGGCCTAATTGCTTAAACAGGTTGGGTTTTTTTTTTTTGAAATCTACCCTGCAAGCCTTTCCTGTTTAATATATTATATATTTTAATTAATTATTTAATATATATAATACTTTAATTTATATTTTAACTTAAGACTTATTTTATTTGTATAGATATGTTGTTTCCTTTTATTCTTAGCTTATGTTCAATCTTCTTAGTTTTATAATTAATTTCTTATTAATCTGCTGCTCCTTTTTTATACATTTATATATATGTGCAAGTATGTTGGCAAAATATACGCACACATGCACCTAGATGTTCTTCTTAATGAACACATGTATGTCATACGTTGTTATTGTATGTTGATTGTTTTATTATCGTATTTTATTCTTTTGTTTTAGCACTATTGTCGTATTGTATTCTAATGGGATTTTTTTGGCATTGTGATCACATCTAACAAACTTTACAAATTATTAAAAATCAGGCTTTATTTTTATTTTTAGTCATATGCAGGTTTTTTTTTGTCCAGAGTATCCTCTTACTCGAACAGTAAGAGACTAATCTCCTAGAGTACTATCAGATGTCATAGTGGGGACCCCTCCCAGCAGTATTTTTTCCATATGTACTGCCCCAAGAATCGAATTCATGATATGATGTTTAAGATGCTCAAGTTCCTTCTACTTAGACCAACACTTTTTTTTTTTTTGCTAAAGCATAGGTATCCTTCTATTGGAGGAAATCTTATTCGAGACACTATCGAGCACTAAATGTGAGCACCTCTTCCAGTAGAGATTCGAATATTGATTCACCACGTTATGAGAGACTAACCTCTTCTGTTAGACCCAACCCCTATTAGTTGGTTGTAGGTTTTAAATATATAACATTAGAAGGATGTCAAATGTACACTTTAATAGATTCAAAGCCTACTTATAGCTTTCAAGGCCCAAATATGAGGTCTTTAAAAAATATTCAAGCTTGATGGACTTTTCAAGTATAAAGAAAAGCCTGTATACAAGCCCAAGCCTAGACTCAAACCATAGATCCCGTTACAAGCACAAGCTTAATTAGCCAAAATCTGGCCATGCTTATTTTCATCATTAAAGTAATATTTGCTATGAGGGAAATAAAGGGGATGGGAGAAAAAATTTGGACGAGCTCTATTTAAAAAATTAGAGAGGTGGGGTTTTAAATTTTTAATAAGGAGAAGAAGTAATATAAAATAATAATAAAAATTAATTAAAAG